CATACCATGCAGATTCTGGATCTTGGCTTGAATAAACATCAGTCCATTGAATATTACTAAGCACTTCCTTCAATTTAATGTTGTCAATTCTTGTTACACGTTTTTCCTCACTATTATTCGTGTGGGGATTATTGCAGTTAATAATTAATAATATGGGATAGTGATCTGTGACATCATGATTAATGACGAAAGGATGAAATTCATAATTTCCCAAGTTTTGATTTGTTCGCGCGTATATATGGTCCGAACAGCTTTTAGTTTCTGGAGTAACTCTTGTATGTGTGTTGATGTGTGACGTGAATCCAAGAGACATAAGCATAGATATGTATTTATTCGCTGCTATTGATGAGCTGTCCAAAATATCAATGTTGAAATCGCCAATCAATATGTCAAAGTTTGTTTTGGGAGATCCCGATAAAAAGAGTTCAACGTCTTCAATAAACAAACTATCAGCTGTAGATGGTGATCTGTAGCAAGGCATTATATTGAAGGACTTATCATATAGAGTAAATATGACATTGGAGATAGTTACATTAGATAGCGGTAGGATTGAGTGTTTGACTTCATATGTAATGCTACTGTTTACGTATATGAGAACTCTATCGCATTGATTCAACTTATATATATATATATATATATATATATATATATATATATATCCGTTCCGTGAGTGGAATGTCAATTGGTGCAAGACAGTCTGTTTCAGCTCGCCAAGCATCATCAGTTGCACTAGGCCAATCGACAATCCACTCACGGACCGGTCACTATTTGAAGACCAACATGTAGTCTTCAACAGTGCGGAATACGGATGTTTGGTACAGTGCCACCTACTAGCACTAGACAGAAACGTGCTTTTCGGGCAGCGACGCAGGAGTACAGATATCTCTGTTACTACACCTACGTGCCCCGAGTGCACCTCGATAGTGTGGATGACCACAGGACAGGGTAAAGAAGAAGAAAGATATTGTGTATGAACACAGAGCAAGAGTATGAAGTAAAAGATTGTAGGTTCAATCCGTTCCGTGAGTGGAATGTCAATTGGTGCAAGACAGTCTGTTTCAGCTCGCCAAGCATCATCAGTTGCACTAGGCCAATCGACAATCCACTCACGGACCGGTCACTATTTGAAGACCAACATGTAGTCTTCAACAGTGCGGAATACGGATGTTTGGTACAGTGCCACCTACTAGCACTAGACAGAAACGTGCTTTTCGGGCAGCGACGTAGGAGTACAGATATCTCTGTTACTACACCTACGTGCCCCGAGTGCACCTCGATAGTGTGGATGACCACAGAACAGAGTGAAGAAGAAAAAAGATATTGTGTATGAACACAGAGCAAGAGTATGAAGTAAAAGATTGTAGGTTCAATCCGTTCCGTGAGTGGAATGTCAATTGGTGCAAGACAGTCTGTTTCAGCTCGCCAAGCATCATCAGTCGCACTAGGCCAATCGACAATCCACTCACGGACCGGTCACTATTTGAAGACCAACATGTAGTCTTCAACAGTGCGGAATGCGGATGTTTGGTACAGTGCCACCTACTAGCACTAGACAGAAACGTGCTTTTCGGGCAGCGACGTAGGAGTACAGATATCTCTGTTACTACACCTACGTGCACCGAGGTGCACTCGTGACCGGTCCGTGAGTGGATTGTCGATTGGCCTAGTACAACTGATGATGCTTGGCGAGCTGAAACAGACTGTCTTGCAGCAATTGACATTCCACTCACGGAACGGATTGAACCTACAATCTTTTACTTCATACTCTTGCTCTGTGTTCATACACAATATCTTTCTTCTTCTTTACTCTGTCCTGTGGTCATCCACACTATCGAGGTGCACTCGGGTCACGTAGGTGTAGTAACAGAGATATCTGTACTCCTACGTCGCTGCCCGAAAAGCACGTTTCTGTCTAGTGCTAGTAGGTGGCACTGTACCAAACATCCGTTTTCCGCACTGTTGAAGACTACATGTTGGTCTTCAAATAGTGACCGGTCCGTGAGTGGATTGTCGATTGGCCTAGTGCAACTGATGATGCTTGGCGAGCTGAAACAGACTGTCTTGCACCAATTGACATTCCACTCACGAAACGGATTGAACCTACAATCTTTTACTTCATACTCTTGCTCTGTGTTCATACACAATATCTTTCTTCTTCTATATATATATATATTATCAAAAACCCAATTACCATATAATGGTGTAGGGTAAATAACATTTCATTTCAAATATTCTCTATTTCATGTACAAATTTCGTCCATTCTTTCTTGTTTATTGCCAGATGTTTTGCTTCTTCCCATGTTTTTTCTTTCTTCCTAAGTATTTCTCCTAGAACTCCGTCCCATGTCTTCCTTGGTCTCTCTCGTTTCTTCCTTTTTTGTATTTTCGACTCCCATACCTGTTTTACCGGTCTTGAGTCACTCATTCTTTGCAAGTGACCCCACCAACTCAGTTGACGTTTTTCTATGAAATTGAGTGTTGACTTTATCTCTAGATCTTCCCTTATTTTTATGTTTCTTATTTTGTCTTTTTTTGTTACACCTCTCACCCTTCTGAGGTATTTCATTTCTGTGGCTTGTATTCTGCTTTTTTGTTCCTCTGTCAATACCCAGGATTCACAACCGAATGTTAGGATTGGTCTATAAATTGTTTTAAATATATTAATTTTCGTTTTTCTTGAAATTTCCTTTTTGTTTATGAAAGACTTGTTCATTGCATAATAAAGATTCAGAGTTTTTTCAATCCTATTATTTATTTCTATATCTTGCTCTCCGCTGTCTTCTAATTCTACTCCCAAGTATTTGAAACTCTTCACTTGTTCGATGTGTATCCCTTCTAGTTGTATGTCGATTGTCTTTTGTTGGTCTCCCATTACCATTACTTTCGTTTTATTTTTATTTAGTTTCATTTCGTATTCTTCGAGTACACTGTTCCATATCTCCATATTTCTTTGTAAGTCTTTTTCCTTTTCTGCCATAATCACTACATCGTCGGCAAATGCTCCTTCGGATATATCTATCCTGCGAAGGTATCTATATCCTACATGGAGTTTCTTGGCTCTAAGAGAGAATTTCTTGATTACCTCATCAATGTATATTGTGAACAATGCGGGGTTTAGTCCTCCACCCTGTCTTAATCCATCTCTTGTTGAAAACGACCCTGATGTTTTATTTTGGTTAATAATGCGGTTAGTATTATTTTCGTAAATATTTTTTATTATCCTTATTATTTTATTATTGATACCTCTTTCGGCCAATATATTCCATAATTTCTGTCTTGGCACTTTATCAAATGCTTTCTCCAAATCTATGAACCCCAAATACACTTCTTTACATTGTTGCAATGCCTTTTCTGCTATTTGCTTGATTGTGAATATATGGTCTTGAATGCTCCTGCCTTTTCTGAATCCACTTTGTGACTCTTCTAATGTATTTTCCAATATTGGTTCCATTTTTCTATAAATAATTTGTTCATATATTTTCATTGCTGTGCTCAGTAGAGTTATTCCTCTGTAATTATTACAATCTCCTTTATCTCCTTTTTTGTGTATTGGAACTATCGATGCTATTTTCCAGTCTCCGGGTATCTCCTCTTCTCTCCACATTCTTCTATAAAGTCCAAATAAAAATTCTGTACCTATGTCTCCCATATTCTTGAGCATTTCCGTTGTGAGCTTGTCACATCCAGGTGACTTTCCGTTTTTTAATTTACTTATCACTTCTTGTAGCTCCCTCAGTGTTATGAAATCTTCATCTTCCCCTCTTCCTATTTCAATTTGCCTATGTTCTTCTCGTATGGCCCCTTGAGCTCCCAACAGATCTTGGAAATATTCTTTCCACCTATTCATTATTTCATCTTCGTCCATCAGTATTTTTCCGTTCTTATTTTTAATTCGAGTTATGTCATTTATTTTATTTTTTCTCAATGATTTCAATGTTTTGTAAAATAGTTTTTGATTTGCTCTGCTGTCTCTTTCCATTTTTTCTCCGAATTCTGTCCATTTATGTTTCTTTGATACTGCCACTAGATCCTTCACTCTTTTCCTTTCTTCTTTATATGCTTCATAATTGTCTGATGTTTTGTTATTCAAATATTTTTTCCATTTTTCTTTCTTGATTTTCACTTGGTCTTTTATTTCATTTGTCCACCATGCTGTTTGTTTTCTGTTATTACTTTTTCTACTACTTCCGCATATGTCTTTGGCTGTGTTCAATCATGTGATTCAACTTACTCTCATAAAATATAGAAGTGAATCCTGGTATGGTGAAGTCATCTAAAGAATAAACATACCTGGTTCCCCCAAGAATGATGACGTCAATATCAGTTAAGTTGCATGTTTCCAAAAAAATCAGTAGCTGATCAAAGTGTTTTCTAACACTTCTTATATTCAGGTGAAGAATTTTAATCAAGCTGGATTTGTTAGTGCATATTTCATTAGATATTTCATGAAATTCATCAGTGCTATGAGTTTCCATTTCTTGCTCTAAAATTATTTCGTTTTCTAAGTCATTCAAAATATTTAATTCTGCAGTATCCATAAACTATCCAGAAGAAAATATATGATTCGTTTACATGTTTCATTGCATGGATGAATTTTGAAAACCAAGTTATATGCTGCTATAGTCACTGTTATTTTCGAATCTTTGTATGTAAAATTTGAATGTAGGACAGTCTTTACTGAACGCTTCGTGAATAACATCATGTTTCAGATTGCTAAATTTTTGCATCGATCTAATACAATTACAGCATTTTTTATATTCTTTTGAGCAATTGTTCGAGCTGTGGTTTCCTCCACAGTAGGGACACGTTAAATTATTTCTACAGTTGGTGTCTTTATGGTCATAGGCGTAACATGTTCTGCATCTTGGTATATTCAAGTCCTCGTAGACGGGGCAACGTTCCCATCCGATATACACCTTCTTGAAATTCATAAATTTCATAAAAGTAGCACCCGAGCATTCCGCAAATATAATCTGTTTCCCGTTATTGATTTGCTTCAGTTAGGTCACTTTGACATAATCATCACGTTCAATGAATTCATTCTGCTTCTTCAAGCATTCTTCGATTTCGTCACTATTCATCTGAGAGCCACTTGCAATGATTTTGATTCTGGGTTTCTTCATTTGAGATAACTTTATTTCATATTTATTTTCCAGGTTTTTGTTTTTCTGAGTTTCTACTAGTAGTTTTTTTGCTCCTTCTTCTGAATTGCATTTGATAACGAAGCATCCATTTTTCGTTGTTTGTATGGAGTTCACAGAGACATTTATTTTCTTGGGGTCGATTGCTTTCTGGATTTCTTGCTTGGTAACTTGTGAGTCCTGAGTGCTTGTAGGTTTTATTATTACTGCTGGTACATTGTTCATAATTGTCTGTTGGTGGGTTGTAATGGCTTGCTTTGTTATGTTTGCATAGCTCGTATTTATTTGGGTCGCTTTCAATTTGTTTATTTCTTCTTCCAGCATTTTTATTATTTTATCTTTGTCATTTATGATTGTCTCTTCATCTGATACCTCTGAATACTTCTATAGGTGTGATCTGAAGACTTCTGAATCCTTCAACTGCCATCCGCTAATCAGCTAGGTTATTCGAATTGGTGGCGTCCACTCTATGGGCATTCCTCATATGGTGGTATGAGTTAGTTTTATTCAAGAATTTCCCACATTTCTCACACACAATGCTTTGTGTCGATTATAGCGAAATTCTCGCTCTTTAAAACTTTTCCACGTTCTATTGGTATTGAAAGCAATCCACTCTCCAGTATTGAGAAACTCTGTTATAAATCTGAAATAGCTGTACTCTCATAGTTCCTGAAATCTCCTGCTACCACTCTGCTTAAATTCACCGAACAAGAATTGCACTATATTCCAGTAGAATGTCTCATTGAATCTGCAGATCCTTATGGGCTATTAAGGGTGTGGCACAAACTTCCTCAAGAATATCGCAGCAACTTTAACCTACAAATCAAACTGCCATGCTTCGTTCATTATAATCGTCCCGATTGGACCACACACTGGGATGGACCGCCATCTTCTCAAGAGGCATGTTATTTTTGTAGAAAAGAATCACTTAAATAAAATAATTCATTATAATTTATAGTTGTTTTCGTATCCTTCCACTCCCCCCATACATCATATTGCAAACACCATCTGTCATACGTCATATGTCATATATTACGCAACATCAGATATTTTTCGAAAATCTGACAACACCTTATCGACTTCATAAATAATAATTTCCAACGTCTGGCAACAATGTGACGGTTATCGCTGCACACGACTCTTTTCAGCATAAGCTTCATTTGGTGTTGTGTGTATATTGTCGATAAAACCAACATGGAAATATTTCACCATAAATTTATTTCGATGTAATACTATCAGCATAAGCTTCATTTGGTGTTGTGTGTGTATATTGTCGATGAAACCAACATGGAAATATTTCACCATAAATTCATTTCGATGTAATACTTGTGTGTCTTATCTCTAGAACGCATCTCTTGCTTTGCTCTACCTCTACAGATCCGTTGCAAAGATAAGCGCGCGCCAGCGATGGATATTATTTTCAACTCGAAGTTTCTTATCTCTGGAATGCATCTCTCGCTTTGCTTCACCTCGATAGATCCGTTCCAAAGATAAGCGCGCGCCAGCGATGGATATTATCTTCGACTCGAAGTTTCTTATCTCTGGAATGCATCTCTCGCTTCACTCTACCTCGATAGATCCGTTGCAAAGATAACCGCGCGCCAGCGATGGATATTATTTTCGACTCGAAGTTTCTTATTTCTGGAATGCATCTCTCGCTTCACTCTACCTCGATAGATTCGTTGCAAAGATGAGCGCGCGCCAGCGATGGATATTCCGTTGGAATAGCATTAAAATATTGTTGAAAAGGAATATTCTCAGATAAATTATGAACATAAAAAAATGGATATATATTTATATAAAGCAATACATTGAGAATTCGCATTCTCTATGTGATGAGAATATTTACTCTTTTTCAGTTAATCCAATAGAAAACAACTACTTTCCTGGCTATATGCCACGACGAACATTGAATTATATCTAATGAACACACACGATAAGAGTTTGAAAATAAAATATAAAAATTTCTGAAATTGAGAATTTGCATTCTCCTTCAGACAAAAATATGTATATACACATATCATTCTGAATATTCAACAGAAAACAACTACTTTCCTGGCTATTTGCCACGTCGAACATTGAATTATATCTGATGAACATTCAAAAGGGGAACATAAAAAATAAAGAATAAAATCCTCCGAAATTGAGAATTGACATTTTTCTTCAAATCGGCATATAGCCAGGAAAGTAGTTGTTTTCTATTGAATTAACTGAAAAAGAGTAAATATTCTCACATAGAGAATGCGAATTCTCAATGTATTGCTTTATATAAATATATATCCATTTTTTTATGTTCATAATTTATCTGAGAATATTCCTTTTCAACACTTTCATACCCAATCAGGGGGTTCAAACTTGAACGATGGAAACTTGTGATTTTTATAGACCTCTAATCGCAGATTCGTGATAGAGTCTCAATTCAGAATTCATTTCCACGCCCTGTATGATGAATGTCAATTTATCATACACCCAAAAGCATTAAAATAATTGAAATATCACGGAGGTCGGAATACCACTGTGCGTATATACGCTGCCTCATAATGCAAAGGTCCCTAGTTCAATTCCCCAGCGGTGACAGCTTTTTTAAATTTATTTATTCACGATGGCGACGTGACGACGTATGAATAATTTGAATTTTGCGCCGGTTTTTAGTGGGCATGGCCTCCAACCAAATGCTGGTCTCTGATTGGCTTGAGCTGGTAGCCCTGTAGTCCCTCTACTTCTATCCACAGATATGATGAATATATTAGTTTTATATCGATGAATTCACATATTTGCTCGCTAAGAATGTCAATTTTAATATAAAACATTGAATCTAACTAAAATTCATCACATATTCCTCTCAAAGACAAGAGATTTGGATTCTTTCAGTAAATGTAACATAATTATAGTGTATCTGCTACCTCATGAATGCACTTTAAGGATTAATTGTTAGTTTCAGAATTATTCATTATTATGAGGAATTATAATTTTGTCAATAAAATGAAAAAAATATTCCGATTTCACATCAACATGTACTTATTTGCATGTGCATCTCAAATTATTATCTCTATGGCATTGTCTTTTTCTTCAAATTTCATTATTTGTCGGAGCAAGAAATATTTAGCATCTCTTTTATCTCTCTGGATGTATAGGTGGTAGAGTTGAAAATACTGATGATTTCAGTGAAGCTGCAACATGATCATTGCAAGTAAACAATAGAGAGTTGAAGTAATCACTGTACGTAGACCTCCACGTAGACGTTAAGGTACGAAAAATAACGTTTACGTATTGTCGTTAAATTGAGTTGAAGTCGTCACTGTCATCATAACGTAATAATACATTTTGTTTTCGGTTTGTATCGGTCAATTTTGGTTGTGTGTTTAGATTCGAACATTTATTCCTGTCAAAATGAGAGGACTCCTTGATGCAGAACTTGGGGATCCCAAATTTGATAATTTTGACTCATCGGCATATTTCGAGTATAGTTTGGTTAACGTACGTTGATATTTAAGGTATACGTGAAGTTACGTGAGATAACGTACACCCGTAAGCCCACTAACAACGCAAACGTGAAGAATTGGAAAATGCGCATGCGTAGCTGTCAATCTCTACGTTTACGTAAGGATGGACTTCTCTCCATCCTTGTTTACGTTAACGTTCATGACAACACTTCAACTCCCTAATAACTATGAGGGGGACATGTTTTCACGTAAGAATCACCTTGCTCGTTTCATCCCCTTCCACTGATGCCAGCCCCTCAAGAAGGTTATATGACATTGTAGGGGTGGGAAGCTCGGTGGGAAGTTTTCAAAAGAATACACGGTATATATGAGCACAGATTAGTGATATGTATAAGCTCAACCGCAAAAATATAATCGAAAGTACGAATCTGAATAATAGAAACACAGCAAAAACAGTTAGGGAATAGCCGAAAGGGATTTTTTTACAGAAAAATAACAATAAATATTCGAATGGCTTGCACTCACTTACATGATTTATTGAAGACAAATGCAAATGAATATCAAAATGCATTGTTACAGGGGAAGAAAAATAACTAAAACATGAGTGAAATTTTTTGGTTTGTGTGAACAGAATTTATATTGTGTATATCTATAAACAACGCCATATATAGGGTATTTCAGGTTTAACTCGTCTAACTTTGACAATCGATAGCAAAGCTCAAAATATCAGATACGTATTTTTTCGTTTTGTCATGAAGAAACTTGTTTTTATTATACGTGGGGGTGTTAAGGTTCGCATACATTCTTGGTTTTTAATTTTTATCCCAGTAGAAACAAAACCTATCGATTTGATATACGGTGAGCACTTTTCTATCGGCAATATGAACAGTCCTTCTCCATTGAAAAAACTGGGTGTTATTCTTTTTCTTGCCCTCTGACATGGAACTTATCACATATTTTTTATTGGGACGCTAGTGGTGAATCGAAGCTAAAGAGAAATCATTATCATTTCTTCACCATACTTTGTGTTTTTCATTTGTTTCAATATCTCTCGTGTACGTGAACCATTCAATATTCAACTCGAATGATAATTTGATGTAAGAAAAACATTCATGTTATAAAACTGTTATACATAGTTTAACATTATTTCGAATAAAAAGAAAACTAAAAGAAGGAAATCGAAACGAATGAATCGCAGATAGCAAGGTGAATGAATGAGGATCATTTTTCATTAGCTATAGTTCACCATTAGCGTCCCAATGGAAAAAAGTTGTAGGGTTTCATATCAGTGGATATAAAAAAAATAACACCCAGTGTAGCTAAGTCCCTTCTATTGATAAGGACAGTTCATATATACCAGATAGAAAAGTGCTCATCAAATTTCAAATCTCTAGGTTTGGTTTCAACAGAGATAAAAGATAAAAACCATAAATTTATGCGATCTCCCCGTATAATGAAAACAAATGTCTCCACGACAAAATGTTTGCTATCGATTGTCAAAGTTAGACGAGTTAAACCTGAGACACCCTGTATATAGTACGGGAACAACTTCAATTTCTAATCTCCATATTCCGTTCGAATCTACTATCCACTATTTCAGGCAGCTGGTATTCCATATAGAAATCTACCAATTTTGATTCCATTTTATTTTGCCAAAATAATCATCATCATTGAGAGGTATTTTTTCAATTTTGATACCTTTATATGTTCATACCATGAAATAACAGAAATCAAAGCCAGTAATATGTTACTGCCCTTGAACTTGGAAATACCAATTGTGGT